ACATTTTTGTACCTTGAAAGACAGCAAATGTGTAGCAAAATCTCCTAGACTACTTCACATCTTTAATAACAAAGATTTAGTGATAATTCAGGCCTGTTGAACAAACTGTTGAAACTTGATTATTACACTTGATCTGGCCGTTGTAATATAAAGAAATAATGTTGTAAATGTGTGTTTTACTAATTTTATGTAATAGACTTTAAGTTTCAAAGAGCAGACATTGTTTTTTTTAAACTTTAAGAATAAAAATTGTAGATTTTTTTTGCCTTTTCGCACCACATTATTCGTCTGTAGTTTAAATATTTTATACTGTGACATATACCAACATATTCCAGACAGGTTTGGAGACCATAGCTGCAGGTACGTTTTTATAATAAGCTATGGTTGACATATATTTAAATATTTATTAGTTAAAAATAAGATGGTTCTTTCCCTCCTCCTGGTGTCAGTGCAGCAGTATCACTCTGGTGCATTCAAGGGCTTCTGGAAGTCTCCATTAGCTCCCAGGCAGCTTTTCCTCATACATCAGGGATTTGTGGGGAATTTCATAACAGCGAGCGTCATTTGTCATTGCCTTAGAAGTGATTTACATGGACAAGCACGTAYCTCTGAGGGGTCATTTATTTACAGTAACGTCATAAATCTTTGATAATTTATCCCAGTTCCAATACTCCAATGTGCTCATTTTAGGTATTTTGTCAAGTCTCTCAGTATTTTATGGATCATTTATGTTCGATGTGTAGGTTTTGAATGGAGCTGTTCCCACGCTGCTTCTTTGAACACATCTGTTTCTTTTTTTTCATGCAGGCGATTACTTTTGTTCTTGCATTTTAAAGTTCCTTGAGTGTCCTATTGTGATGAGGAAAGCAGAAACAAAGTGGATTCAGTGTTCTCAGCAGCTCAATAAAATAAAACAATCTCCATGCAAAGCTGGTCATCTTTGGCTCACAGCCACATTCTCCATTAGAGCCTCATGTGAACAACTACTGGATGTGTGTGTGTGTGTGTGTGTGTGTGTGTGTGTGTGTGTGTGTTATGGGGTGACAGGTGAAGAGAAGTAGTTACTACTGACAGGCAGGCTTTACCTATGGCTGTCATGAGCTTCACTTAAAACAAAAATATGAAGAGTAATTGTTTACATAAATACACTATGACAAGTGAGTTTTATCTTTTTCTCTGTGCTTACAGTATGTTGAGAGGGTGTTTTTTTTTGTTTTTAATAGCAAGAACTAGGCAAAGAATTATTATTATTATTATTATTTATTTATTTTTTTAATTTAATTTTTTTTTTTTTTGGTGTTCAACTTTGCAAAATTGATGCAAGCCAGTAGCTGAAGTAAAAATGATTTTAGAAAAGGCTTGGCTACAGATCAGACATGATGATTTTAGCTGTGTGCTGTTTATATTCAAACTAACCTCACAGTGATGTTCACACACTGATTAGTGTGGGCTTGAAAAGGTTGTTCACCCATAATCAATGTTTCCAAAGATTTGACACACCTCAAGAGATGCAACACAATTTCATCCATCCGTTTACTTTACCTCCTCCTCTGGTTCTGGTTCCTATCTCCAGTCCCTGTGTGAGAGGCTGCGGAGAACCTTGGACATGTTGCAGGTCCATCACAGGGTCAGACTGGCCCACCACCGCTCCTTATTCTACCCCGGCCCCGGTTGTGTTTGCATTGAACAGAGCCGCCTCAGTGTGGGCRGGATCATAATTATAAACACAGGTAAATCTTAAATTTGTTTAGTTTGTGACACAACAAAAATAGACTACATCAAACTCGAAAGAAAATTACTAAAAATTGGTACTTCCTGAAAAACTCTTAAACCAGGTTAGCTAATATTTCCAAGAAATTAGCTCTTCTCTCTCAAAAACAAATAAAATAAAAAAGCTGTCCAAGGGCAGGATGAGGTCTTCTGCTCAGTTTGAAACAGATAAATGTGTGCAGACAGAGCAGAGATGATGTATACACAAAGTATACTTTTATCAGACCGATTCTGTTTTACTCCCTAAAGATGAAAGTCGGAGCAGTTGACCGATAAGTCGGACAAGGTCTTGTCAACTCACTGTTGAATTAAGCCCCACACTTGGGCTGTTTGTCATGAAGGAACTCTTCCAGGGGAAGTTGTTGGTTTTCTTTTATAGAGTTTGGCCGAAGAGGTATACAACAACACAGGTTTGTCTCCGATATTTTCAAAGC